ACATTATTATATTAATTTTTGTAATACTTGAAATCAATTTTATAACTCTTGAGATTCTTGTTATTAAATCACTCTACAGAATATTGTTATACTAGTTTTATTAGAAAAATAATTTTGAAATTTAAATAAAATATTTTTATTACAAAAATCATCAAAAAAATTTTTTAATGAAAAAGAAAAATTCTAATTTTAATATTTTTTTTTTTAAAACAAAAATATATAGAGTATTTTCAATAAAAAATTTTTATTAAAGATATAAATATCTCTAAATCTCAATTAAAGTTAAAAAATTTTGAATTTTAAATGATCTGAAACTTTTTTAACTTTTATGAATAATAATGTTAATCATTTTCAAATTTTGTATTTGTTAATAAGATAATTGACTATAAAAATTTAATCAAACAAAGTTCATATGGGAAGTTTATAATATCAAAAACTAAAATGTAATAAAAATTAAAATTTTGTTAAAAAAATTTCTAGAGCTTGATTTTCCTAGCAAACTTCCCATATATCATATAATAATATGAATCAAAAATCTTTATTTTTGATTGGAGGGTTCTGTAATCCAGTGATGTATACTTGGAAGATTAGAAGCACCCTTGGAAGCACTTTTGAAAGGGTTGTAAGCATAATTCTCTAATGAATTCATTTGGATTGGAAGCTTCCAATCAAATTTTATACATTGGAAGCATAAAATGCACATCACTACTGTAACCTGATTTTAATAGCTTAGATCCCATATGTTAATATAATAACAAATAAAATACATGAAATAGAATATAATTTTTGTTTGAACATTTATTAGCAAAAATAAAAAAATTTTTTTTAATTGGTCAGTTTTTCTAGAACATAGATATACTATTGTATTACTGTTACCTAGTAATAATATATAATTGATTTAATATCAACGTTATTGTCCAATATTAACTATTTGACCGATCATGAGCATAAATTATTTAATTATTTCCTAATATAGACATATCCGAATCAATCATATCTTTTCGAAAGAGTTCATGCTTCTTTTACTGTATTTTGAACACGGTAAATTATTAATAATTATCTAATCAAGTTTTCTTGTTAAATTTAAACTTTTTTTTTTTGGAGTGAAGATCATTATGTAATTCACTTAGTGATTATATTATAATTAAGTGATCAAATTATTGTACTACCTGTCATTTCCATTCACATTCATTGTTCAAACATAAACAATTACTCCGTGGTTGGTAGAAAATTAATCGATAATTTCCTTAGTAAAATAAAAAAAAATATAAATATGTATTTTTTAGGATTATAAAAAAATTTTATTAAATCATCCCCACAAGATACTATTCTGTCTATTCTGTACACATTAGCTGGTATTTTCGCGCATATTAATTCGATTAAAAAATTTAAAAAATTATATCTATATAAGACATAAATGTACAAACATAAACCTCAACATCTCAACCATGAATCCAACTCAAGTTCCAAACAACTTGCAATATTTGGATTCTTTGCATTCTGTTAATAATGAGCAAAATAATTCTTACCATCCTCCAAACTTCAATACACAAACAGATCACAGTTTCACTCGTTATTATCACCTTAATAGTACTCTCTACATGCAAAAGTATTTTGGAGATTCCTATATGCAAAATCAAAATGTTGAAGAAAATTTGGATGATTATTATCGACGTAATTGATTTTGTTGATCATCTTATGTTTAATTCGATAAATTTTTTACGAATCTATTTTATTAATTTTATCTTTAGGTGCTTTATTTGCGGATGAACCAATCATTAATATGGAATTTTCTAATCAACGTAATTGATTTTGCTGATAATATGATTAAATTCATTGACACGATAAATTTTTTACGAATCTACTTTTTTTAACTTTATCTTTAGATGTTTTATTTACGGAGGAACCAAACATTAATACGGAATTTTCTAATGATAATCTTCAACGTAATTGATTTTGCTGATAATCTTATGTTTAAATTCATTGCACTTGATAAATTTTTTACGAATTTATTTTTTTTAACTGAAAACCCGATAGAAAGGACTCGATGGGACGAAGAAGACATCAAAAAACTACTCAATTTTTTGAAGGATCGGTCGGTTGACTTAAAACGACTAATAAAGGAACGTGGTGGTTGCGGTAGTAATGTTAAACGAAAGCTCTGGGATGATGCCTCAAATGCTTTATCCAAAAAATTTCTTCCTAAGCAATGTGATGATAAGTGGAAAAATATTAAACGAGCTTACAAGGTATAAATTAATTTTTTTTATAAAATTGAAAGAAATGTTATTCATTATTTAATTAATTATTACAATTTAGCTTCAACCTAATATTAAGTTTAATAAAGATATTAAAGAAATTCTGAAGTAATTACGTTAAGCGGAGGTTGGAACCGGGTTGGAGTAATTCGGTTTAAACCGTTGCAACTTGCAACATAAAACCGTTTCTTATTTTTAATAAAATCGGTTCATGAAACCGGGTAATATTATTAAACAAGCCCTAATGTTTATGTATGTAATCGTAGCAACGCCGTTAACAGTTTAGCTTTTTTTTTTTTTTTTTTTTTTGTTATTTGGTTATATCATTGTACAATTTTTTGTACAATTTCAAAATGTAGATTTTCATATTTTCCCTCGAGATATATAATTTTTTTTATTTCACATTTTAAACATGTAATAATAGTTTAATATTTAAGATAATATTTTTGTTAACCGATTATCGGTTGAAATCGGTTTTTTTTTAAATTCGGTTTTAATCCGGGTCCCGGTTTGTGAATACTACCGGTTCCAATCCCTACGTTGAGCTTAGTTTCTAAATATTGGTTGAAGTATTTTTTTTGAAATTACACCAAACGAAAAGTATTTGTAAAAATTGTTCGCCGGCAAAAAATTACTAGTCTTAATATTTTTAAATTCGACATTACATAATACATATATACAGCAGATAATAAAGGTGTCATTATGCATATTCATTTGATATGACAATATTTTATTATTTAACTTTTTTGATTCTTACTATTCCATTATTCAATATCGTCAAATCCAAAAAAAGGAATTTGTCTAGTGCAAGTCTAGACCTTATCATTTTATTCACATTCTAATTTGCTTTATCGTCATTGTTAACCTTTTCATCAATTCATCCCTAATTTTCGGTCTGTATATTACTATTGCAGATGAAAAGATATTACATAATTTGTATATAGGAAAGACACACCTAGATGTGTATCTGTTAAATAAATTTATTATGGCGCCGGATCAATTTTCTCATTGCTAACCGGATTACAAATCATGTAATGCATGATTATAAATCACGGTACCCGAACGGGTATATGGTTTGATATTTCCATACATGTAATGGATTTTCTAAAATTTCGGAAATTAATAAAGTTTTTAAATTTTATAATTAATTTTCTTAAACTTAACACCTGATTTTACTCATTATAATTAAACAAAACAACTACCAACGCGACTTATCGTTTTCTTTTTGTGTTGTTAATTATTAGCATTCTGTTCAAATCAAATCCGATCATTTTTTAAGATATTGAAACTGTATCTGACGATGAAATTATAATTAATTTAATCTAATTAAATATATAAATATTCAATACCGGCATACCATACATAAAAATCCATATCATACATGATTTAATAACACCATACCCGAACATACTGTATTTTTATTCTGCGCCATTACCTTTACTGCGCTAATGACTGCGCCATTCACGGTTGTGTTCTGAAACAAAAAAAATTTAGGGTGCCAAATATGTATTTTAAGGACCATCCGTCATTCTATATATATTCTTTTCTTTTTTTTTTTCTTTACAAAATTGTTCATACCTATTTCTTTTAAAAAACAAAAAAAAATTTTTAAAACCAAAAAAAAAAAAATATCGATTAAATGGGAATAAATTTAAATAAAAAATCAACAAAACTCAAGAATTTCTTTCATTATGATGATTTTGATGCAAAAAAATCCGTAACATCTTGGTTTATATCACCAAAATCATTATTGGTTATTAGAGGAATAATTTGCTTGTATTCCTGGATTGCGTTGATTGGAAAGACTGTAAATGATGTAAAGAATAATAATGCGATATCTTTTTTATCGTACTTTACTCACTTCAGTTATATCGGTTTAGTGGCTTATTTTACGGTGAGTATTCTTGAACGAACGAGACCTTTTTTGGTTTAAACCCGGAAATTAATTTCAAACGTCATTGAAAATTTAAAAAAAGACAGCGTTTTATCGTTCTTACCAATATGTAATGAAGAATACAACAAGTTCTCAGTATAAAATATTAGATTGGCTGTTTTGGTTACTTTATCATACACTAGCCCATTTCACGTTAGTAAAATTTTAATTTATTCTTTTTCATAAAATCTTTTTCTAACAATTTATTTTTCTATTAGAATGACGATAATCTTAACATATTGGATATTTTTATCGGGATACTTTCTTAAACAAAATGCTCAACCGTATAGTTGGTGGTTAAATATATCGGTACATGGATTGAACTTTACCTTTGCGTTAATTGAAATCTTTTTAAATCGTCAAATTATGGTTGCTTCGTTTGTCATTTTAAATCTCTTAATAGAAATTTTATACATGTTTGTTGTTTACATAAACTATGCCGTGTATGTGTGCCCTTTTTTTTCTTTTTTTTTTTTTTCCGTCGTCCCAATTCTAAATTACCTTGATGAAATTTTACAGAAACTCGAGATGGGTATACGACTTTTTGGATGTGACGAAAGGCTTAAAATCTTTTTTGTGGTATATTGGATTGTTTATCGTTTATATTATAATTTTCTTCATAATGTATGCTGTGCATATGTTGAGAGACTATTTAGGAAATAAATTCGGTCATAAAATTTCCACTCTTCCGATTTAATAAACGAACCCTGGTGATCATTTGATCATATTTGACGCCATAAATGGCGTAAACTATAAAAAACTATAAATAAGTTCGCTAAATTTTTTTGTATTTATTTATTGTATCAAAGATGTTTTCAAATTTTGGTTCAATAAATTCTTCAAACAATAATTCAAATAACGACTCCGAGAATCATGAAAGCGTTTCACATGATGCGCCTTCATCTTCAAACCAATTTCTCTTAAACAACATTCGATTTGGTATGCCGGTATGCATTTTAAGAGCTCCAGAAGTTTCGAACCTTCCCCCTGAAAAAACTGACGAGAACTTATCAGAGCAACAATCACCTTTACCATCAAAATCTGATCAACCCGTTGGAGGAAGATTTTGTGATAAATTTCCGCTTCACGTCATATCGGTTGAGGATAATAATTTATATACGAATAGGGTCTCATATAATACACAACAAAATGCGTATTATGAGAATGGTATTTTATCGAACAAATATATCAATGGATGGAATAATGGAACCTTTCGATGGGATAATATTGAATTAAAAAGAGAATATGATTGGTTACAAACTTATTTAGCAAGAAATCCTTCTGAATCTAAAATGAATGATGACGGTGAGATCTCTTGGAAATTTGATTATCGTATGGGAGGTTTCGTAATTAATTCTCTTCATATCAGATTATCATTTGGTACTTTTGATAATTCCGCTCGCGTTAACTGGTTCATCACGCCTTTACCTACGACGAAAAATCCGTGCCCAAATTGGCAACAAATTCCATTTGATCCATACACGGAACCTAGGCATTATGTAAATGAAGTCAGGGACTTTACTCGATACGTTAAAGATGAATATGGTTTTATACTAAGAGCCCATTTAAGTGGTGGTGATAAAACTTATGTTATATGGCAAAAAACTCAATTATTTAGACAAGATTTTATTACTGGCATGACCTTGGACGTTGATGATGATGATGATGCTTTTGGATTGGATGTTAGAGTGGAATTAAAGCCTGATATCATTGTTGATCCTTTACCAGAATTAGAACCTACGAGTGAGAAGAGGTCATTCGTTTTGAATGATGAGGCAACAAGTGATTTCGTTATCCATTTGGAAGTCCCAACTAGTGATGAACAAAAGTCTGCGAGTTCCGACGTTTCAAATGTGGATGTTAAGGATTTTCACATACATTCCAAAATATTATCCGCCAGATCGGATTATTTCAATGCCTTATTGGCATCAAACATGATTGAATCACAAAATAAGTCCCTTAAATTAGCTTACATTTCTCACGAATCATTGGAAAGGATCCTTAATTATCTTTATACGGGTACCATTCCAGACATCCAAACTTTTGATGAATGGACAGCGTTGTTACACGGTGCTTCTAGATTCCTTATACCTGCTTTAATTCAAAGGTGTGAAAAGGCTCTTAAAGGGTACGTAAATCATGATAACTTGAGAGAGGTTGAAGATATCGCTAAAAATTGTGGTGCTGAACAATTAGTACAATATTGTAAAATGTTTGAACCAAGGAATAATTAGATGTATATGTACGTTTACGTGCTTTGAGGCAAGTTTACCACATAATCTGGAATGAATTTGAATTTAGTTTCTTTTTATAAAGTACTCGGTGAATTCGATATAATGGAACTTCTTCCCGTATAGTAAAAAATACCCAGTGGTATATCGGGAATTTCAATATAACGAAAATTTTCGATATATCGGATTTCACATATCAAAATTTATTACATACCCAAAATTAATGAATCCTAATTTCATGTTCTTCTACCTCGCGTTCTTTCACTGCACTTTGGCCTTTAATCATATTTACAATTTCATTTAATGATAATACTTCTTTGATAAGGATTTTACTTTACTATCATTTGAAAGAATAACAAATTTAGTCTGACGGGTTCATTATATAACTGATGGGTTACTAGTACAAAAATACTGATAAAATTAAGGGGATCTTTCCGGTAAATGGTTTATGATATTGTATTTTTATATATTATAGACAATAATCTTGATTAAATATTTTATACATTAATAACATTTAGCATTGTCTAATATAAAATAAATAAATTTAGTCTTTTAACAAAAATGTCTATTTTTATAATATTTTATTTTTGTTAATTATAAGATGATATGCAATTATTTTTATTATTTATATAGTAATAAATATTAAAAGCAATTTAAAAAAATGTAATAAGTGTTGAAAAAAAAAAATAATAATAATATGTTATTTTTGATTTTTAATATTCACAATATTATATAATATAATTTTAATTATTTTTAATTTTATAATTTAGCTTTTATTCATAAAATTTTATTAATTAGTATACTATTTATTTTAAATATATATAAATTATTTTTTTAATATTAAAATTATATATATTAAATAATATAACAAGTTAGCTATTAATTATTATAAATTTATAAATTTTTATCAATTTATAAAAAAAAAATTAATAATAATAATATTTTTTAAAAAATTATATTTTAGCAATTAAAAAAATTTATAATAATCATCTGATAATAGATTATTAAATTATTTTGTATAACAGTTTAATTATATATTTAACATTTATTTTTTAAAAAAAACTTTTAATTAAAATAATACTTTTAGTATTTATTAATAAGCAATTTCTATTTGTTTAGATATAAATTACATGATATAAGTAGTATTAACATTATTTTTAATGATATTAAAAAATTAAAAAATTATCTATATGATTACCATATGGGTCGATTGCTAGAAAAATCAGGTTCTGAGAATTTTTTAACAAAATTGAAATTTTTATTGCATTTTAGTTTTTGATGTTATTAGATTAAAATGTATTAAGCTCTTA